GGGACCCAGGCGAAAAACAAAATTAGGCCTCGTGGACAGAGAGACTCAAGCTCTTACTGGGAAACAGAAGCCAGTGAAGTGATGCTGTCCACTCGGACTGGGTCAGGCTCTTTTGAAACTGTTTATAAGGGCACATGCACGGAGACGTTGCAGTAAAGATCCTAAAGGTTGTCAACCCAACCCCAGAGCAATTCCAGGCCTTCAGGAATGAGGTGGCTGTTCTGCGCAAAACACGGCGTGTGAACATTCTGCTTTTCATGGGGTACGTGACAAAGGACAACCTGGCAATTGTGACCCAGTGGTGCGAGGGCAGCAGCCTCTACAAACACCTGCGTGTCCAGAAGACCAAGTTTCAGATGTTCCAGCTAATGGACACTGCCCGGCAGACGGCTCAGGGAATGGACTATTTGCATGCAAAGAACATTATCCACAGAGACATGAAATCCAACAATACATTTCCCCATGAAGGCCTAACAGTGAAAACTGGAGATTTTGGTTTGGCAACAGTAAAGTCACGCTGGAGTGGTTCTCAGCAGGTTGAACAACCTGCTGGCTCTGTCCTGTGGATGGTCCCAGGGGTGATCTGAATGCAGGATAACAACCCATTCAGTTTCCAGTCGGATGTCCACTCCTATGGCATCGTGTCGTATGAGCTGATGACGGGGGAGCTTCCTTACTCTCACACCAACAACCGAGATCAGATCATCTTCGTGGTGGGCCGAGGGATGCCTCCCCAGATCTTAGTAAGCTATGTAAGAACTGCCCCAAAGCGATGAAGAGGCTGGTCGCTGACTGTGTGAAGAAAGTAAAGGGAGAGAGGCCTCTTTTCCCCAGATCCTGTCTTCCATTGAGCTGCTCCAACACTCTCTACCGAAGATCAGCCGGAGCGCTTCCGAGCCGCCCTTGCATCAGGCAGCCCACACCGAGAATGTCGATGCCTGCACGCTGACCACGTCCCCGAGGCTGCCTGTCTTCTGGTTGACTTTGCACCTGCCCTCAGGCTGCCAGGGGAGGAAGAGAAGCCAGCAGGCACCACTTTTCTGCTCCCTTTCTCCGGAGGCAGAACACATGTTTTCAGAGAAGCTGCTGCTAAGGACCTTCTAGACTGCTCACAGGGCCTCAACTTCATGGTGCCTTCTTTTCTGTTCCTTTGGGCCCTGGGAGAAGGAAGCCATTTGCAGTGCTGGTGCGTCCCCGTGCTCAAGGCCCAGCCTTCTCTAGATGCGCAAGTGGATGTTGATGGTGGTACAAAACGCAGGGACCCAGCCCAGCCGTTGGCTCCATGAGTATTTCGAGGAAATAAGTTAGCGGGCAACCCAGCCCTGATGTGGAGACACATGGGATTTTGGAAATCAGCTTCTGGAGGAATGCATGTCACAGGCGAGACTTTCTTCAGAGAGTCATGCAGCGCCAGACGTTTTGCACATAAGGCACCAAACAGCCCAGGACTGCCGAGGCTCTGGCCGCCCGAAGGAGCCTGCTTTGGTACTATGGGACTTTTCTTAGGGGACGCGTCCTCCTTTCACAGCTTCTGAGGTGTCCAGTGCATTGGGATGGTTTTCCAGGTGAGGCCCCCAGCCAGTCCCCGTCTCGGCCCTCTCAGGGAGCAGTCTTCCGTCAGCCAGTCCCCGTCTCGGCCCTCTCAGGGAGCAGTCTTCCGTCAGCCAGTC